CTTTGTCCCCATGTGCAGTTGCAAACCGTTGTCAGGCTTTTTTATGGCGGTTTTGGAGCAGTGGCGTCTTACTTGCTGAGCGGCCTTTCAGGTTATGTCGATATAGGACTCGTTTTACTGTGGATATAGATACTTTTGTACCTGTTTCCTCCAGCATCTTCACAAGGTACTTTGCTGTTGTTCTGGGATTCATTTGCACTTTTCGCACCAAAGTACGTTCATCTCTAGGAGACAGAACGCGTCTCCTTCCTGAGCGGTATGACGGCTGCGTGGTCCCATGGTGTTTATACTTGCGTACTATTGTTTGTACAGATGAACGTGGTACCTTCAGGCGTTTGGAAATTGCTCCCAAGGATGAACCGGACTTGTGGAGGTCTACAATGTTTTTTCTGAGGTCTTGGCTGATTTCTTTTGATTTTCCCATGATGCCAAGAAAAAGGCACTTTTGTTTGAAGGTAGGCCTTGAAATACATCCACAGGTACAACTCCAATTGACTCAAATGATGTCAATTAGCCTATCAGAAGCTTCTAAAGCCATGACATCATTTTCTGGAATTTTCCAAGCTGTTTAAAGGCACAGTCAACTTAGTGTATGTAAACTTCTGACCCCACTGGGATTGTGATACAGTGAATTATAAGTGAAATAATCTGTCTGTAAACAATTGATGGAAAAATTACTTGTGTCATGCACAAAGTAGATGTCCTAACCGACTTGCCAAAACTATAGTTTGTTAACAAGACATTTGTGGAGTGGTTGAAAAACAAGTTTAAATGACTCCAAACTAAGTGTATGTAAACTTCCGACTTCAACTGTACTGTCATTTCTCTTTTTCTCTCTCACGTCCCCCCCTTCCATCTGTCTCTCTGTCTTTTCCATCTCTCTCTCTCTCTGACTTTTCGTCTCTCTTTCTCTCTTGTTTCTCACCGTTTCTCTCTCTTTCCCTCACCCCCCCCCCCCCCCCCCTCTCCTCCTCATAATAACCTCTCTCTCTCTCCTTTCTCTCCTCTCTCTCCAGTCCGTGGTAGACCAGCAGGTTGTGGTGGGTCAGGGTCAGGGGTGGAAGGTCAGGAGTGTGAGCTTGCCCTGGTGCAGAAGCTGAGAGAGCGCTGTGAGGACCAGGCTAGGCAGCTCCTGGCTCTGCAGGCTGAACTGAATAAGGCTTCTCTTGGACTGGAGGTGTTCGCCATCACCACACAACACTTCTGCCACAAGGTAATAAAACTGGATAACATTGCTTTATAAGAAATTATTTGTGAAGCAGCCATATAGTGTTTATGAATACTTTATAATGCCTGTTTATAAATTGTAGTTTGTTTAAAGTGGGACCAACCATAAGTGGTCTTGTCCGATACAGAACGTGTCATATGGCCAGGAGCCTATCTCCTGTTTCTGTAGTGAGACAGCTTGATGTACAGGACACCCCCTGGACAGGACACTAGTCTATCTCCTGTTTCTGTAGTGAGACAGCTTGATGTACAGTACACCCCCTGGACAGGACACTAGTCTATCTCCTGTTTCTGTAGTGAGACAGCTTGATGTACAGGACACCCCCTGGACAGGACACTAGTCTATCTCCTGTTTCTGTAGTGAGACAGCTTGATGTACAGGACACCCCCTGGACAGGACACTAGTCTATCTCCTGTTCCTGTAGTGAGACAGCTTGATGTACAGTACACCCCCTGGACAGGACACTAGTCTATCTCCTGTTTCTGTAGTGAGACAGATTGATGTACAGTACACCCCCTGGACAGGACGCTAGTCTATCTCCTGTTTCTGTAGTGAGGCAGCTTGATGTACAGGACACCCCCTGGACAGGACACTAGTCTATCTCCTGTTTCTGTAGTGAGGCAGCTTGATGTACAGTACACCCCCTGGACAGGACACTAGTCTATCTCCTGTTCCTGTAGTGAGACAGCTTGATGTACAGGACACCCCCTGGACAGGACGCTAGTCTATCTCCTGTTTCTGTAGTGAGACAGCTTGATGTACTGGACACCCCCCTGGACAGGACACTAGTCTATCTCCTGTTCCTGTAGTGAGACAGCTTGATGTACAGGACACCCCCTGGACAGGACACTAGTCTATCTCCTGTTCCTGTAGTGAGACAGCTTGATGTACAGGACACCCCCTGGACAGGACACTAGTCTATCTCCTGTTTCTGTAGTGAGGCAGCTTGATGTACAGGACCCCCCCTGGACAGGACACTAGTCTATCTCCTGTTTCTGTAGTGAGACAGCTTGATGTACAGGACACCTCCTGGACAGGACACTAGTCTATCTCCTGTTTCTGTAGTGAGACAGCTTGATGTACAGGACACCCCCTGGACAGGACACTAGTCTATCTCCTGTTTCTGTAGTGAGGCAGCTTGATGTACAAGTACACCTCCTGGACAGGACACTAGTCTATCTCCTGTTTCTGTAGTGAGGCAGCTTGATGTACAGTACACCCCCTGGACAGGACACTAGTCTATCTCCTGTTTCTGTAGTGAGGCAGCTTGATGTACAAGTACACCCCCTGGACAGGACACTAGTCTATCTCCTGTTTCTGTAGTGAGGCAGCTTGATGTACAGGACACCTCCTGGACAGGACGCTAGTCTATCTCCTGTTTCTGTAGTGAGACAGCTTGATGTACATGACACCCCCTGGACAGGACACTAGTCTATCTCCTGTTTCTGTAGTGAGACAGATTGATGTACAGTACACCCCCTGGACAGGACGCTAGTCTATCTCCTGTTTCTGTAGTGAGGCAGCTTGATGTACAGGACACCCCCTGGACAGGACACTAGTCTATCTCCTGTTTCTGTAGTGAGGCAGCTTGATGTACAGTACACCCCCTGGACAGGACACTAGTCTATCTCCTGTTCCTGTAGTGAGACAGCTTGATGTACAGGACACCCCCTGGACAGGACGCTAGTCTATCTCCTGTTTCTGTAGTGAGACAGCTTGATGTACAGGACACCCCCTGGACAGGACACTAGTCTATCTCCTGTTCCTGTAGTGAGACAGCTTGATGTACAGGACACCCCCTGGACAGGACACTAGTCTATCTCCTGTTCCTGTAGTGAGACAGCTTGATGTACAGTACACCCCCTGGACAGGACACTAGTCTATCTCCTGTTTCTGTAGTGAGGCAGCTTGATGTACAGGACCCCCCCTGGACAGGACACTAGTCTATCTCCTGTTTCTGTAGTGAGACAGCTTGATGTACAGGACACCTCCTGGACAGGACACTAGTCTATCTCCTGTTTCTGTAGTGAGACAGCTTGATGTACAGGACACCCCCTGGACAGGACACTAGTCTATCTCCTGTTTCTGTAGTGAGGCAGCTTGATGTACAAGTACACCTCCTGGACAGGACACTAGTCTATCTCCTGTTTCTGTAGTGAGGCAGCTTGATGTACAGTACACCCCCTGGACAGGACACTAGTCTATCTCCTGTTTCTGTAGTGAGGCAGCTTGATGTACAGGACACCTCCTGGACAGAACGCTAGTCTATCTCCTGTTTCTGTAGTGAGACAGCTTGATGTACAGGACACCCCCTGGACAGGACACTAGTCTATCTCCTGTTTCTGTAGTGAGACAGCTTGATGTACAGGACACCCCCTGGACAGGACACTAGTCTATCTCCTGTTTCTGTAGTGAGACAGCTTGATGTACAGGACACCTCCTGGACAGGACACTAGTCTATCTCCTGTTTCTGTAGTGAGACAGCTTGATGTACAGGACACCCCCTGGACAGGACACTAGTCTATCTCCTGTTTCTGTAGTGAGGCAGCTTGATGTACAAGTACACCTCCTGGACAGGACACTAGTCTATCTCCTGTTTCTGTAGTGAGGCAGCTTGATGTACAGTACACCCCCTGGACAGGACACTAGTCTATCTCCTGTTTCTGTAGTGAGGCAGCTTGATGTACAGGACACCTCCTGGACAGGACGCTAGTCTATCTCCTGTTTCTGTAGTGAGACAGCTTGATGTACAGGACACCCCCTGGACAGGACACTAGTCTATCTCCTGTTTCTGTAGTGAGACAGCTTGATGTACAGGACACCCCCTGGACAGGACACTAGTCTATCTCCTGTTCCTGTAGTGAGACAGCTTGATGTTCAGTACACCCCCTGGACAGGACACTAGTCTATCTCCTGTTTCTGTAGTGAGACAGCTTGATGTACAGTACACCCCCTGGACAGGACACTAGTCTATCTCCTGTTTCTGTAGTGAGACAGCTTGATGTACCAGTACACCCCCTGGACAGGACACTAGTCTATCTCCTGTTTCTGTAGTGAGGCAGCTTGATGTACAGGACACCCCCTGGACAGGACACTAGTCTATCTCCTGTTTCTGTAGTGAGACAGCTTGATGTACAGTACACCCCCTGGACAGGACACTAGTCTATCTCCTGTTTCTGTAGTGAGGCAGCTTGATGTACAGGACACCCCCTGGACAGGACACTAGTCTATCTCCTGTTTCTGTAGTGAGACAGCTTGATGTACAGTACACCCCCTGGACAGGACGCTAGTCTATCTCCTGTTTCTGTAGTGTGAGTAGGGCTGTTGCGGTGACCGTAGTACCGCCACACCGGTGGTAACGAGTCATGAAGTGTACAAATACTCAAATAAAAGTACCAGAAAGTAAAATACACATGCATTGGAACCCAGGTCTGGAAGTCAACACATCCACCACAAGACTATCATTGTCTCTATCTATTCTCAGGCAGTAACATGCATGTTGTGTAATAGGTCTATCAGGGGAATGAATGCCTCTTCACTCACTGAACAGTGTGGTTGTCTCTGTTCTGTGGCAGTGTGCCATTTAGAGATGGGATATGATTGTTCAACTGCCTGGGTAGGTTAAATACACACACACACGCACACACACACACACACAGGTTGAATAGGCTGAAGTATAGGATTAAAATACTGTGATACATCAGATTTACTGTATCCTACTGACTACATATTTTATTTGATCATCATGTCTGCACCTTCCTTTTATGTATAGATACAGTACCATATCCCAGTAAAGACACAGTACCATATCCCAGGAAAGATACAGTACCATATCCCAGGAAAGATACAGTACCATATCCCAGTAAATATACTACCATATCCCAGTAAAGATACAATACCATATCCCAGTAAATATACAGTAACATATCCCAGGAAAGATACAATACCATATCCCATTCAAGATACAGTACCATATCCCAGTAACATACCCCAGTAAAGATACAGTACCATATCCCAGTAAATATACTATCATATCCCAGTAAAGATACAGTACCATATCCCAGGAAAGATACAGTACCGTATCCCAGTAATGATATAATACCATATCCCAGTAAAGATACAGTACCATATCCCAGGAAAGATACAGTACCATATCCCAGTAAAGATACAGTACCATATCCCAGTAAAGATACAATACCATATCCCAGTAAAGATACAGTACCATATCCCAGTAAATATACAATACCATTTCCCAGTAAAGATACAGTACCATATCCCAGTAAATATACAATACCATTTCCCAGTAAGATAAAAACCAGTTCCCAGTAAGATACAGTAACATATCCCAGTAACATACTCCAGTAAAGATACAGTATCATATCCCAGTAAATATACTACCATATCCCAGTAAAGATACAGTAACATATCCCAGTAGAGATACAATACCATATCCCAGTAAAGATACAGTAACATATCCCAGTAACATACCCCAGTAAAGATACAGTACCATATCCCAGTAAATATACTACCATATCCCAGTAAAGATACAGTAACATATCCCAGGAAAGATACAATACCATATCCCAGTAAAGATACAGTATCATATCCCAGTAAAGATATAATAACATATCCCAGTAAAGATACAGTTCCATATCCCAGGGAAGATACAGTACCGTATCCCAGTAAAGATATAATACCATTTCCCAGTAAAGATACAATACCATATCCCAGGGAAGATACAGTACCATATCCCAGTAAAGATACAGTACCATATCCCAGTAAAGATACAATACCATATCTCAGTAAAGATACAGTACCATATCCCAGTAAAGATACAGTACCATATCCCAGTAAAGATACAGTACCATATCCCAGTAAAGATACAATACCATATCCCAGTATAGATACAGTACCATATCCCAGTAAATATACAATACCATATCCCAGTAAACATACAGTAACATATCCCAGGAAAGATACAATACCATTTCCCAGTGAAGATACAGTACCATATCCCAGTAACATACCCCAGTAAAGATACAGTACCATATCCCAGTAAATAAACTACCATATCCCAGTAAATATACAGTAACATATCCCAGTACCATATCCCAGGAAAGATACAGTACCATATCCCAGTAAATATACTACCATATCCCAGTAAAGATACAGTACCATATCCCAGTAAAGATATACTACCGTATCCCAGTAAAGATACAGTACCATATCCCAGAAAAGATACAGTACCATATCCCAGTAAAGATACAGTACCATATCCCAATAAAGATACAATACCATATCCCAGTAAAGATACAGTACCCTATCCCAGTAAATATACAATACCATATCCCAGTAAAGATACAGTACCATATCCCAGTAAATATACAGTAACATATCCCAGGAAAGATACAATACCATATCCCAGTAAAAATACAGTAACATATCCCAGGAAAGATACAATACAATTTCCCAGTGAAGATACAGTACCATATCACAGTAACACACCCCAGTAAAGATACAGTACCATATCCCAGTAAATATACTACCATATCCCAGTAAAGATACAATACCATATCCCAGTAAATATACAGTAACATATCCCAGGAAAGATACAATACCATATCCCAGTAAATATACAGTAACATATCCCAGGAAATGTACAATACCATTTCCCATTCAAGATACAGTACCATATCCCAGTAACATACCCCAGTAAAGATACAGTACCATATCCCAGTAAATATACTATCATATCCCAGTAAAGATACAGTACCATATCCCAGTAATGATATAATACCATATCCCAGTAAAGATACAGTACCATATCCCAGTAAATATACTACCATATCCCAGTAAAGATACAGTACCATATCCCAGGAAAGATACAGTACCATATCCCAGTAAAGATACAGTACCATATCCCAGTAAAGATACAATACCATATCCCAGTAAAGATACAGTACCATATCCCAGTAAATATACAATACCATTTCCCAGTAAAGATACAGTACCATATCCCAGTAAATATACAATACAATTTCCCAGTAAAGATACAATACCATATCCCAGTAAATATACAGTAACATATCCCAGGAAATGTACAATACCATTTCCCATTCAAGATACAGTACCATATCCCAGTAACATACCCCAGTAAAGATACAGTACCATATCCCAGTAAAATATACTATCATATCCCAGTAAGATACAGTACCATATCCCAGTAATGATATAATACCATATCCCAGTAAAGATACAGTACCATATCCCAGTAAATATACTACCATATCCCAGTAAAGATACAGTACCATATCCCAGGAAAGATACAGTACCATATCCCAGTAAAGATACAGTACCATATCCCAGTAAAGATAAAATACCATATCCCAGTAAAGATACAGTACCATATCCCAGTAAAGATACAGTACCATATCCCAGTAAAGATACAATACCATTTCCCAATAAAGATACAGTAACATATCCCAGTAACATACTCCAGTAAAGATACAGGACCATATCCCAGTAAATATACAATACCATTTCCCAGTAAAGATACAGTACCTTATCCCAGTAAATATACAATACCATTTCCCAGTAATGATACAGTAACATATCCCAGTAACATACTCCAGTAAAGATACAGTACCATATCCCAGTAAATATACAATACCATTTCCCAGTAAAGATACAGTACCATATCCCAGTAGAGATACAATACCATATCCCAGTAAAGATACAGTAACATATCCCAGTACAATATCCCAGTAAAGATAAAATACCATATCCCAGTACCATATCCCAGTAAAGATAAAATACCATATCCCAGTAAAGATACAGTACCATATCCCAGTAAAGATACAGTACCATATCCCAGTAAAGATACAATACCATTTCCCAGTAAAGATACAGTAACATATCCCAGTAACATACTCCAGTAAAGATACAGGACCATATCCCAGTAAATATACAATACCATTTCCCAGTAAAGATACAGTACCTTATCCCAGTAAATATACAATACCATTTCCCAGTAAAGATACAGTAACATATCCCAGTAACATACTCCAGTAAAGATACAGTACCATATCCCAGTAAATATACAATACCATTTCCCAGTAAAGATACAGTACCATATCCCAGTAGAGATACAATACCATATCCCAGTAAAGATACAGTAACATATCCCAGTACAATATCCCAGTAAAGATAAAATACCATATCCCAGTACCATATCCCAGTAAAGATACAATACCATATCCCAGTAAATATACAGTACAATATCCCAGTAAATATACAATACCATATCCCAGTAAATATAGAATATCATATCCCAGTACCATACACCAGTAAAGATACTGTGCCATATCCCAGTACCATATCCCAGTAAAGATACAGTACCATATCCCAGTACCATATCCCTGTAAAGATACAATACTATATCCCAGTGAAGATACAGTGCCATATCCAAATAAAGATACAGTACCATATCCCAGTAAAATACAGTACCATATCCCAGCAAAGAGACAGTAAAAAATATACAATACCATATCCCAATGCCATATCATTCCCAGTAAAGATATAGTACCTTATCCCAGTAAAGATACACTATATATACAAAAGTATGTGGACACACCTTAAAAGTAGTGGATTTGGCTATTTCAGCCACACCCTTTCCTGACAGGTGTGTAAAATCGAGCACACAGCCATGCAATCTCCATAGACAAACATTGGCAGTAGAATGGCCCTACTGAAGAGCTCAGTGACTTTCAACGTGGCACCGTCATAGGATGCCACCTTTCCAACAGGTCAGTTCGTCAAATTTCTGCCCTGATAGAGCTGCCCCAGTCAACTGTAAGTGCTTTTATTGTGAAGTGGAAACGTCTAGGAGCAACAACGGCTCAACCGCGAAGTGGTAGGCCACACAAGCTCACAGAGCTAGATCGCAGAGTGCTGAAGCACGTAGTGCGTACAAATTGTCTGTCCTTGGTTGCAACACTCACTACTGAGTTCCAAACTGCCTCTAGAAGCAACGTCAGCACAAGAACTGTTCGTTGGGAGCTTCATGAAATGGGTTTCTTTGGCCAAGCAGCCGCACACAAGCCTAAGATCACCATGCGCAATGCCAAGCGTCGACTGGAGTTATGTAAAGCTAGCCGCCATTGGACTGGAGCAGTGGAATCTCGTTCTCTGGAGTGATTAATCACTCTTCACCGTCTGGCAATCCGTCGGACGAATGTGGGTTTGGCGGATGCCAGGAGAACGCTACCTGCCCCAATGCATAGTGCCAACTGTAAAGTTTGTTGGAGGAGGAATAATGGTCTGATGCTGTTTTTCATGATTCGGGCTAGGCTCCTTAGTTCCAGTGAAGGGAAATCTGAACGCTACAGCATACAATGACATTCTAGACGATTCTGTGCTTACAGCTTTGTGGCAACAGTTTGGGGAAGGCCCTTTTGTGTTTCAGCATGACAATGACACCGTGCACAAAGCGAGATCCATACAGAAATGGTTTGTTGAGATCGGTGTGGAAGAACTTCACTGGCCTGCACAGAGCCCTGACCACAACTCCATCGAACACCTTTGGGATGAATTGGAACGCCGACTGCGAGCCAGGCCTAATCGCCCAATATCAGTGCCTGATCTCACTAATGCTCTTGTGGCTGAATGGAAGCAACTGCCCATAGCAATTTCCCAACCTCTAGTGGAAAGCCTTCCCAGAACAGGTGAGGTTGTTATAGCAGCAAAATGGGGACCAACTCCAAATTAATGCCCATAATTATGAAATGAGATGTTCGACGAGCAAGTGTCCACATACTTTTGGTCATGTAGTGTACTCTAACATCTCCCAGTACTATATCCCAGTAAAGATACAGTACCATATCCCAGTACTATATCCCAGTAAAGATATAGTACCATATCCCAATAAAGATACAATACCAAATCCCAGTACTATATCCCAGTAAAGATACAGTACCATATCCCAATAAAGATACAATACCAAATCCCAGTACTATATCCCATTAAATATATAGTACCATATCCCAGTAAAGATACAATACCATATCCCAGTAAAGATACAGTACCATACCCCAGTAAAGATACAATACCAAATCCCAGTACTATATCCCAGTAAATATACAGTACCATATCCCAGTAAAGATACAGTACCATATCTCAGAAAAGATACAATGCCATATCCCAGTAAAGATACAGTGCCATATCCCAATAAAGAAACATTACCATATTGCAGTAAATATGCATACCATATCACAGTAATGATATGATACCATATCCCAGTACCATATCCCAATAAAGATACAGTACCATATCCCAGTAAAGATACAATACCATATCCCAGTAAAGATACAGTACCATACCCCAGTAAATATACAGTACCATATCCCAGTAAAGATACAGTACCATATCTCAGAAAATATACAATGCCATATCCCAGTAAAGATACAGTGCCATATCCCAATAAAGAAACATTACCATATCCCAGTAAAGATACAATACCATATCCCAGTACCATATCCCAGTAAAAATACAATACCATATCCCAGTAAAGATACAGTACCATATCCCAGTAAAGATACAGTACCATATCCCAGTAAATATACAGTAAAATATCCCAGGAAAGATACAATACCATATCCCAGTAAAGATACAATACCATATCCCAGTAAAGATACAGTACCATATACCAGTGAAGATACATTATCATATCCCAGGAATGATACAATACCATATCCCAGTAAAGATACAGTAACATATCCCAGTAAAGATACAGTACCATATCCCAGCACCATATTCCAGTACGATATCCCAATAAAGATACTGTTTTACATTTAAGTCATTTCAGATGCAGAGCAACTTCCAAGAGCAATTAGGGTTAAGTACCTTCCTTAAGGGACATCGACAGATTTTTCACCTATTCTGCTCGTGGTTTCAAACCAGCAAACTTTCGGTTACTGGCCCAGCGGTCTTAACCGCTAGCCTACCTATCATATCCCAGTAAAGATACAATACCATATCCCAGTAAAGATATAATACCATATCCCAGTAAAGATACAGTACCATTTCCCAGTACAGATACAGTGCCTTATCCCAGTAAAGATACAGTACCATATCCCAGTAAAGATACAGTACCATATCCCAGTAAAGATACAGTGCCTTATCCCAGTAAAGATACAGTAACATATCCCAATAACTTTACAATACCATATCTCAGTACCATAGCCCAGTAAAAATACAATACCATATCCCTGTACCATATACCAGTAAAGATACAGTACCTTATCCAAGTAAAGATACAATACCATATCCCAGTAAAGATACAGTACCATAGTCCAGTAAATATACAATACCATATCCCTGTACCATATACCAGTAAAGATACAGTACCTTATCCAAGTAAAGATACAGTAACATATCCCAGTAAAGATACATTACCTTATCCAAGTAAAGATACAGTACCATATCCCAGTAAAGATACAGCAACATATACCAGTAAAGATACAGTACTATATCCCAGTAAATATACAATACAATATCCCAGTACCATATCCCAGTAAAAATACAATACCATATCCCAGTACCAAATCCCAGTAAAAATACAGTACCATATCCCAGTAAAGATACAGTACCATTTCCCAGTAAAGATACAGTACCATATCCCAGTAAAGATACCGTAACAAATCCCAGTAAATTTACAGTACCATATCGCAGTACCATATCCCAGTACCATATTCCAGTAAAGATACATTACCCTATCCCAGTAACGATGCAATACCATATCCCAGTACCATATCCCAGTAAAGATACTGTACCGTATCCCAGTAAAGATACAGTACTATATCCCAGTAAAGATACAGTAACATATCCCAGTATTATAGACCATTAAAGATACAGTACCATATCCCAATAAAGATACAATACCATATCCCAGTAAAGATACAGTACCATATCCCATGACCATATCCCAGTAAAGATACAGTACCATATCCCCGTAAAGATACAGTACCATATCCCAGTAAAGAGACAGTACCTTATACCAGTAAAAATACAATACCATTTCCCGGTACCATATCCCAGTAAATATATAGTAACATATCCCAGTAAATATACTGTACCATATTCCAGTAAAGATACAGTATGATATCCCAATAAAGATACGGTTTTACATTTAAGATGCAGAGCGACTTCCAAGAGCAATTAGGGTTAAGTGCCTTGCTTAAGGCACATCGACAGATTTTTCACCTAGTCGGCTCGTGGATTCAAACCAGCAAACTTTCGGTTACTGGCCCAGCGATCTTAACCGCTAGCCTACCTATCATATCCCAGTAAAAATACAATACCATATCCCAGTAAAGATACAGTGCCTTATCCCAGTAAAGATACAGTAACATATCCCAATAAATGTACAATACCATATCTCAGTACCTTAGCCCAGTAAAAAATACAATACCATATCCCTGTACCATATACCAGTAAAGATACAGTATCATATCACAGTAAAGATAAAGTACCATATCCAAGTAAAGATACAGTACCATATCCCAGTAAAGATATACTACCATATCCCAGTAAAGATACAGTAACATATCCCAGTAAAGATACAATACCATATCCCAGTACCATATCCCAGTAAAAATACAATACCATATCCCAGTACCATATCCCAGTAAAGAAACAGTAACATATACCAGTAAAAATACAGTACCATATCCCAGTAAAGATACAGTGCCATTTCCCAGTAAAGATACCGTAACAAATCCCAGTAAAGATAAAGTACCATATCCCAATAAAGATACTGTTTTACATTTTAGTCATTTAGCAGATGTTTTTATCCAGAACGAATAACAGGAGCAATTAGGGTTAAGTGCCTCGCTCAAGGGCACATCGACAGATGTTTCACCTAGTCCACTCGGGGATTCAA